AACGATAAATAAGAGAACAAGCAAAATGATGATAAAGTTTTCAAACAGATAAAAACAAGGTATCACTTGAAACTATTCCCATCGTTTATTCGCGATACAGTTGAATGCGCAAAGCAAAAATTATTTTGCACCATATATACAATCAGCATTATGCTTTAGTTTCAAAAATAGAACAACGTCGATACAATTATTGGTATTCTCATCGTGGGCACACAAGATTTTGTACGAATATAACCAGCAAATGTATGTTTTTTTTTGAAATTACAGTCTCTTAAGAAGATCTTTTTTCAGTAATCGATATAGAGCAGATTTTTCTGTCCTCAAGTAATGCAATGAATCATGTAGAATATTATTTTCGTGTCAGGGCAATTTTTTTCATATTGGCAAAAACGTTTCGAAATTTTCTTACGAAAAGAATAGTAGAGGTCAGCAAGTGTAAAGACACTCATCTCACAAGCGTCTGTTTGTTAGTATTATCAATCCAGTTTGTGAGTTCCACCGTAGAAATTGAACCGTCCACTGTTGTATCCTTTAACCATTCGAAAAGATTTGATATTGCTAAAAATTAAATAAGATGATATAGGGAAAGAGACCGTGAGTATAAAAAGTCGATATGACAGATTTTTGGAAGTACGAATATTCCACACAATGGTCTATTTTAGTTCAATCTGAATTTAGAGAAATAAGCACTCAACTTCAAAAAGAAATGGGAGACTAAGGGAGAGAAAGCTACAGAATCATTCACTCATATATAAATGTGGATAGGTTCTTTGTACAGATAAATATGGAAGGGACTAGGCGGTATAGGGATCTTGAGATTTAATCATTGATATATATAAGATGTTGAAAACCAAAATTAAAGCAGAATTATATATATTACATACATATGGTTAGATAGAGGGTGACAAGTTGATCAGGAATGTATATGTTTTTATTTTATTCAAATTAGTTTTTAGGGGAAAAATTCAGTTTTTTTGCCGATGATCTACAGGGTGGCGCAAAAGTCGGTTTACCGAAAAAAAATCGAATATCTTCATTATGGCTCAGACAAATGAGCTGAATTGTTTTCCTTAAAAACTAATTTCAATAAAATAAAAAAATATCTATTCGTGATTCGCTTGTCACGCTGTATCTAAGCATATGTGGAGAATGCCTAAAAATGTTTTTCCCTGAGGCTAACGCGATGATTTCAAATAGTATCCGTAATAAATTTTATATCAAATTAAAGCGCGTTGAAAATGGGATTTATCAGTATTAAACAGTAAAGAGTATGACAACTTTTCAATGTCGAATGCAGGAAATTTTCAGAATTTCACGCCCTATTGACATAGAAAGATGTATTTCATGAGACAGTTCAAACTAGATCTGGTTCGGAATGATGAATATCACAAAGTACTCGATACTTGGCCAGGAAATATTGGAGCAACAATCAAAAATGAAGTTGAAAAAAAAATGCTATCAGAGACGGTACACAAGCGTTATTGTGAAGAAATTGAAAAGCACATTTCAGATATTTCCATGAGCATTGAAACAAACATTGAGTTATTTGAAATTTTTTGTATTCGTATCTGTGTCATCTTCGTGCTGTTAAGATAGTTAATGGTCGTTATATTGATTATTGAATATATTCATCAAATCCTGACAGATCAATGGTACTTTGTGATATTCAATTAATTTGAATCATATATAATTTGAATTGCCTCATGAAACATATTTTTCTATGGCAATAGGGTGTGAAATTCTGAACATTTTCTGCATTCGACATTGAAAAGCTGTCATACTCTTTACTATTTAATACTGATAAATCCCGTTTTCAACGAGCTTTGATTTGATATAAAATTCGTTATGGATACTATTTGAAATGACTCCGTTATCTCCTGGAAAAAACATTTTTAGTCATCCTGTACAAAAGGTTCCATTGTGAGATAAAAACATTAAGCAGAAGAAATGTGCTTAACTAATGATTTTCGAGCGGTTTGAACGACATGAGTATAAATCAGAATGATGTTAAACTGTGCATTGCATCAATTGGTCTTTGAGTAGATCGAGAATTACTATAGTTTTATATTGAAGAAGTAAAAACTGTTCTATTGCATTGATTTTTATCAGATAATAAATTTCTAGTATAATATGGCATCGATCTCGATGGATATTCCGACATTACAAATCAATGGAAACGACCTGCAGAACTTGATTAGATTTATTTACAAGCATGAACAATTGTTGAAAGAATTTGGTGCACTTAAAATTCAACCGACTATTGACTGTAAATTAGCATTGAAGAAACGGCGAAAAAACATACGGTTACGTCCATCTATGAAAAAGATTGTAAGGATAAATAAAAAAGAACCTGTTTACTTCGCACAAACGTTTGATTATATGGACGAATCTGCTCAACAAAGTTGTTTGGTGACTGATGAATATAGTTTCTGGTTCTCATTATGCAGTTCTACCAATGAACAACGATTGGTGAACACTTCAATAGTACCTAATGAGAGTTTCTTTTCTCAGAAAACATCTCGTTTATATTTTGATATTCATCGCTTGCCTTATCAATCACTTCTCAAAACAGGTGGTAACAAAGTAATACGTCAATTTGTTCCATATTTGAGAAGAGCGCATGGACCAGGTGCTATTTTTCCAATGACATCTGCTCGACAGCGTCTCTTCTCGATTGACTACCATCATGAAGGTGGTGCTCATCACTGGTACATTATTCCGGCCCGTGAGCGAGAAGTTCTACAAAGAATAATCAATCGTCACAAATCTACTATTTGTCTTGACCATGGACAGTTACTTATTGATCCTTTGATACTAGACAAAAACCATATTCGTTATCATCGAGTTATTCAACATCCAAATGAATTTGTTGTTTTATCAGCTGGCGCTCTGGCACAAAGTTTCACAGAAGATGCCAGTTGGAGCGAGTCAATCGCTTTTGCCTTACCTAGTTGGATTGAAGATGGTCATGCAAGTGCTCCAATTCCACGATGCCAATGCAATATTCCTCAAGACTTCTTACCAGACATAATTGATGTTACCCGATTTAAACAGGAGCTTATACAAAGATACATTACTTTGCATCTCAATGTTACCGCTGATGATACATCATCAACTTTGGAAGGTTCATGATTGTGTTTATAGTAATCTTTCTAACTAATCTATACATGTTTAGATCACGATGATACGAATATCATTAAACTGCTAACGCCTTATAGTATTAAAACCAACTCATCGGACGGTAACTAGCTTTTTAATGCTTAGATTGTCTAATTATGCTTCAACTACTTAGGTCAGCTCAAAAGTAGCGAGAGTGACACTTTTATACAATGTAGTAAGCTTTAAGATACTTTTTCTCTATATAGTCTGATAGAGAAAAGAACGCTCTATGTTTCTATGCTATTGGATCATACTTTAACTAATACTATAATAGTAAAATTTTGATAAAAATTGTTTTGTTCTTGTGACGCACTGTTACGTAACTCTCATTTTTAAAAAAGGACAGATGAATATTTTTTGAATAACTTTTGTTTAAAAAAGATAGAGAATTGCAGTTTTCACTGTTGGAAAGAGGAGATGAAGATACATCGAATCATGTATTACAAGGTTTTCTGATCTCATTTTTTTAATAAGTTTTTCAATTAACTTTTGTAAGAGCGAACCTGTCTGGGAAGTTGTTTACAATAAATTTTCAATTATCAAGTATAGATTCAAATCACTAATTGAAGATTTACAAACTGCGAAAATCTTAGATGAATAATATGTACTTTAGTGCAGCTTCTAATTCCGTTTTTCAGGAATTTCCGTGAAAAATACTCACTTTTGTCCCTCTCTCTTTTCTTGATAAAAAAGAACATTTTTTTGAGAGTTAGAAAATCGAATAAAAATGCTTCAGAAATCAATATTATAAAAATCGATAACACATGTTTCGATGCATCTTTATCTTTTCTTTTCAATGATGAAAATCGCAGTTCTCTATCTTATTTCTGTCAGAAGTTATTCAAAAAATATACGCTAACATTCGTGTAACCATGACACATGAGAATAAAACAGTTCTTATCGAAATTTTATTATTATGATATCAGTTAAAGTATGATCAAATAGCATAGAAAAATAGAGCATTCTTTTCTCTATCAGACTATATAGAGAAAAAGTTTCTTAAACCTTACTACATGGTATAAAAGTGTCACTCTCACTACTTTTGGACTGACCTAAGTATATTAATAAAAAATATACCGTTTTGTAGAGAATTAAAAAGTGAATCTATTGAAAAAAATCAAGTCTAAACACACGAATATTAAAAGATATATTATTAAATATTGAGAGGCCCATTTTCTCTAGGACACTCGATAATAGTAATGCATTAAATTCTCATCATTGACTCCTCATGAATACCATTCTTAAAAAAATAAAGTACCATACGAAACCGGAAAAAGTTTCGTGCGCGGTACGGAACTTAAAAAAGGTTTCGAATTCGTTGCAAAAATGGTTCCGTATGGTATCATTCTCTTTCAATGCAGTCCTAACTATGCCTTACAAAGTTTCGATGTCGTTCGTTAATGAGTTATATTGATCGAGTTTTCCATGAAAAACCTAATACAGTAGAATTTTTCTTGAATCGCATAGTGGTTAATCAATAGAGAATAAGGTCATAACTTTTACTTAATACGGTTGTTCTTATTATGATTCAATGAAAATATTCTGTATGTTAATATAGCTGAAACCATGATGTCAACAAATACACAACTCATTGCACCAATGAAACGCATTGTCTCATATGCTGATATACTATCAATATCCTTGCCAACACCACCTATCAACAACTACTTATGCGAAGAAGACAAAATGGAATCTAATGATGATCATAGTCAAGTGCAATACAAAGTGTTAGAGTAAGTGAAACACACAAGAATAGCTGATCTTTCGATGAATCAAAGTACAAGTGAATGATTTTTCTGGAAAAATTTTATTTATAGAAACGGACAAAAGCAAACTTCAACTCTTGAGAAATCCTTCAAAGATTTTGAATGACTCTCAAAAACATCAAAAGATTTTGTCAGAGTTTATAAGACTTTATATCACTTGTAGAACTTCAAGAGATTTTCAAAGTCTTTACGAAATTTCAAGGTTGAAGTTTATGATATCTCTTTCAGTAGAAATACTCTTTTATTGAAGTAATTTTTTACTTAGAATACTGTGTAGTTTATTTGTTCTATCATTGTCCAAGATTTGCATGATAGTGGCATGATTCTGCGAGGTGTCAGAGTTTTTCTATTGTCTCGAACTATATTCTAAAATTTTCGACGATAGATACCATAATAAAGCTAAGGGATAAATTCTTTGTTGAATTTTATGTACGAATCCGCACTATACTTTTGGGCTTTTCAGATATCGGAATCGAAAAAAGGTGATTTTCCAGATCGTCCATGTAATGAAATATTTTTAGTGTGTTTTTACTAGAGGTGTAAAATGATGTATTAATGGGCAGTGGCAGTGACAGGTGACCGATTTTCAGAACTTTTTTTAAAAAAGTTTTCTTAGATTCGAGAAATGTCGAACTGAACAATAGAGAAACTGATAATAGAACACTAACTGATAAAACAATAGACAATTTTATTCCTGAAGAGCCAATTTTGAGTGTTGAAAATTTTAGAAAGTAATGTATATATGTTTGTATCATGTATACGATAAGAGCTAATTACTTCAACACATATTTACAACAATGGTAGTTTAGATTTTGTTAAAAATGTTATGACTATCAGCGGTGACGGCTCAGCTGATGGACTTACATCTCTACCTTCTACAGAAGAAATAGTCCTGATCCTATATATTCAGAATTTAGAAACACACTAATCATATTTATTTGTTATTTATTTTCATTTCAACTTGACGAGAGATCTTTTTATCTTTTATCTACATACTTGGCAATAATTTATCGAAATTTGAAAACTATATTTTGATTAAAATAAATATCATAAGCGTATTTCATATGCAAAACATTCTTGCATTTTCTCAAAAAAATATTTTCTGAACATTATTGTAATAGAAAACGCACTCCTATTAGAATCAAGAAACAAAAATAACTAATGTTGTCTTGTAGAGTGTATATCGTGCTTTCAGAAGTGTTCAAATACAACATGAATTGATAACTAACCATTCTCGTCAATGACTCCAACGACTCTAGAAATTTCATGATAATACTCGACTTTTGTTGTATTTTAAAATACTCGATACTGTTCTATTGATGAAAATACTCATTAAAGATTTTGTTTAATTGAAAATCGAAAGATTTTATCAAGTAGAAGTTCCGATAGCTTTTATTATTTCTTTCTATCGTTAGATACTAAGTTTCCTCTAAGTTTAAAGTATGGAAACAGTCTTTCAAATAAACTCTATAAATATTCGATTTTTATAACACTAAATATCGAACTATTTTTGACAATATCGTTTGAACTAATTCACTTCAGACTGATACTCTTATTCTCAACTGAATATTCATCAAGTTTAAACACATCTTAGATCGACTTTAGGTCTGATGTTTACGGTAATTTATGTTAAATATTTGCATATTTCATTCTAGTTCTCTTATTTCAGATGGAAAAATTAATTGCTTGAAATAAATCTTAATATAGTTCATGAAAAGATCAAAGAGACTTTTGACGAACAATTTTGAATTTCATGTCGAAAACATGTGTGAAGCGCGATCTTAGAGAATTGAAGTATAGAGAAAGAAACTTGGACCTACTCTCTCCAGAGTCATGATAGACATCCTTATCAGCGATTCACTACAGACATGACAAACATCCTTAGCTATGTTCCTCCTTCATCATAGACCGTTTATCAATAACGTCGCATTATAATATAAGAAATACTTCCTTATTGCATTTCTTGGGGATCAATTGAAAGGATGGCGAAGAAATGTGTCCCACAATAGATATAATAAAACTATCTTCTGATAATTAGCAGCAGCAATTACATTGCGTTTCATATTTTAATTCCGAAGAGACTGTGCTAACAGCAGTATTAATAGTATAAAAGAAGCTATAAATAGATCGAACGAATTTCGCACATCGATATACGCTATGAATGATCTAAAGTATTTTCTTAGTTACTTTGATGAGTTGATCTTAATTGCGTAAGAATAATATGAATCTATAGCTTTATGGATCAAAGAAAATTTTTCTAGAGGACGGTAATTTTACAAAATAGCGGCGTTTGATTGGTCGATTATTTTCAATAAATACGTCTAGAATACCACCGCCAAACGTAAAACAAACTCATGTCCATCTATTACGCCTATTCTTATCTCTATATGAAATTAGCTACACAAAATTTACTAAATGTTGTTAGTAGTAATTTTATGCTATTTGTTGTTTCAGCGAAGGTACATTTGGGGATGCATTCGAATGGGAAACATCAGTAATGAGTTTGATCAACTCCATTTCGGATGAGCATCTTTTTCAATTACATGCGCACACAAATCAGCTTTTTCAAACTACGATTACACCCACAAGCATTCAGCAAAGTATTACGAATGACTATAGCGAAGACGATTATTCCATCATGTTTGAAGACCTAATGAATACATCATCACCTTCTATTGTGGATAGTGTTGTATCAACGTACGAATACACTGATGAAAACATTGATACGGTAAGCAACAATTAAAAACAAGTAATAAGTAAATGTAGTTTTCATTGTATTAAAACACAGAATACAACTACATTAAATATAGTTCTGAAGAGAAAGCTTGTTGCCTTATAACCAAAATCCTCACTTTTCCTGTTCAGTTACTTGGTGTAGGAAATATAAAGAAAATGTTGACATAATATCGTGAATTTGATTACCTCAAGCACTTTCTTACTTTCCCGAACGCAATTCAATCAATTTTTTATATAATAAGTAACATATTTTTTTGAATGATACTTTTCAAATTTTTGTAGTTTTTAACTTGTGACACCGATCCTTAACAAACTGGGAGTAGTAGAGCCAATCGTATTAGTTTATCGATTGAGAGTTTTAGAAGCCTATACTACAAGCTGATTAACGATGGAGCTCTCAGATTTGGACTATTTTTCAGAACCGCATGTTGGTGTAGATGAATTGTAAATGCACACTCACACTCACAATCT